CCCCAAAACCCCAAAACCCCAAAACCCCAAAACCCCTCTCTACACAGAAAGAATTGAATATTATCGACGTTCTCTAAGCTACCCTTCTTGTGGCTCCTAAGCTATGGATCCACCAACTAGATTTTTCGAAAATTTCTTAAACTTAGCCGAATTTGGAAAATTTTCTGACATTTAAGCTAATATTTTGAAAGTAGAAAATCTACTCTAATGGTACCGCCATTTGTATGATAATTCTCGAAACAATTAAATTTAGGTAGGAATTCAACCAATAAGGTGAGGGTATTACAAAGCCAACACGAAGAAGATTAATGGGCAGCTTTATTATCAATAAAATTTATAGTTATGTAAGTATCCTCCTCTGAAGGTTTAGAGTCTTTGGAACTCGTACTCGTCAGGTCTGATACCTCGCTCATCGCTCAACTAACGATTTCAATCTGTTCTTCCTGGGATTCATTGATCTGGGATTCGGATTTCTGGCTTGATTCTTCACTTTCAATGATTTTACGTCTTTTTCTGTTAAATTTTGATTTCCTGGCTTTACGTTTTCTTGTGTTTTTCTTTTCCTCAATATTTGCGATTTGGGTAGAAGCAGTGCTGATCTTCCTTGGTGCACCAATGGCTTCTCTTCAAGAGTCAATAAGTCTGTAGAACAGGATATAAGCTTTAGCTGAATTTTTCACAGGAGCTTCGTTGCGAATTTTGCAAACCCTTCAATCATCACAGTGGTACCATTTCCCATTAAAACTCTTAATGAAGGAAGTGTAGTGCCCTCAGTGAGAGTTTTTACCTTCATGGTTGATCACAGCATAAAGCTCGTAAAGTTTATCTCCTGAGGAAATTCTTCTCCTACTGAGCGGCTCAGAAATATAATCGTTGAGATTAAATTTGGCTGGGTATTTTAAATCAGATTTAATTTTATCTCCGAATTTATCAAATCTTTTAAAGCTGATGATCAAATTTAGAGGAGCATCCTTAAGCCCAATAGACTTCACAGCATTAGTGTACTTATCACAGTTTTCGCATTCGTACTTATTCTCACCCTCTAGCTTCTCTGGGGAGAAGTAGTATCTCATGCATTCATCAAAAGTTGCTTTTATTTCCTATAAATAACTTGTGAGAAAAGCCAATAAAATTAATGTATTTTTGGGTCAGGAAAAATCTAACATATTAGGTTCTATTTAGAATTGATCGGATTTTGCCATCCAAAGGCCAAATCTGAATTCAATGGATCAAAAATATGTCCTCTTCCGTTTAAAATCGTAGCAGAATACTGTTAGGACTAAGCCTAAGAGGTTCACTGTCGAGGTTACCTAATTTAACTACACCTAATTGGATGATTTAGGTGAAAAACCTGAGGTTTTAGCAAAATACACCGATAAGCAAGGATGTCTATCTTACTAGCTAAGGTTGGAAAAGAACTTACAAGGTTGATGTCTTGGAACTTCTGGTGATTCTTATTGTTATTTCTTCACTTCTGGCAAGAAATATTACTTGAGAACGATCCTTCGAAAATTGAATTTAGCTCTTTCTTTTTATCGTGGATCTCAAATCAGTAATCTTCATCATCCTTCTTAGATTTATTCAAACATTTGGAACCCTCAAGTGAATGAAGGAGCATGATTAGGAACTCATGGGCATCTTGTTGTGTGCCGATCTCGACATCTTCACCGAAAACCTTCTTAATAATATCATTCATTCCCATGGGAAGTATATAGTCTCTAAAGGAGTTCTTCATTTCATCAAAGATTTCCTTAATCCCTCAGTAAGCTCATCAGTACTGGGTAGGATTATCAAAGCCTACGAAAGAGGCCATTCTTCTTAGCCGGGCGGCTCTTTTTGGGAGTATGGTGGTATCACTATTCATTTCTTTTTCATCTGACTTCTTTGTAAGCTCTGGGTTCTTGTTTGAAGAGCCTACGAAATCAACCATTTCTGGTGTATGCATCATTCATTGTAGAACGGAATTAGCAAATCAAGTGTTTCCTATGTTTGAAAGTCCGATAGGAGTCTTCATGAACATTTTTGGTCAAATTTAATAATTTATAAATAAAATCAATTTATAAGCAGCTTATCGGGGTTTTGGGGTTTTGGGGTTTTGGGGTTTTGGGG